GTCGCACCCGATCATTATTCTTACAGACCAACCCCTTCGGCAGATTCTGCAAAAGCCTGAGTGTTCTGGAAGATTAATTAAGTGGGCAGTAGAACTTGGGGAGTTCGAGATAACATTTCAGCAGAGATCTACAATCCGAGCTCAGGCACTAGCAGATTTCATTGTAGAGTGCACTCCAAGTAATTCCATTCCTACTCCGGAGCCCAATGACTGGACCTTATATGTTGATGGGGCATCTAGTAGCAAAGGTTCAGGAGCTGGTGCTCTCTTGATTGGCCCAGATGGATACCGAAGTGAACATGCTCTGAAATTTAACTTCGATGCAACAAACAACATGGCTGAGTATGAAGCCTTGCTACTGGGTCTGCAACTAGCCTTGGAATTAAAACTCAGTGCGATCCAAGTATACAGTGACTCCCAACTGGTGGTGAACCAAATTAACTCAATTTGCGAAGTTGTTGATCCTGTGATGGTGAAATATGTAGCTCTGGTGGCCAAGCTGACGTGCAAATTCCAGAAATTCTGTCTGAGCAAAATCCCCCGAACTAAGAATGAACAGGCAGATTCACTCTCTAAATTCGCCTCTGATCGTTCTTCACATTCCAGATCAGTTTTTGTGGAGGTCTTAGATGAACCAAGCTTCGTAAAGCCACAGGTGATGGAGATCAACACCGACCCAAGCACACCGAGCTAGACTGACCCAATCCTTTCCTTCTTACGAGATGGGACAATACCTGAGGACAGGCAGGAGGCAATGAAGTTGAGGAGGAAAGCATCTCGGTATACACTTGTTGATGGGATCCTCTATAAGCGATCTTTCTCTCTACCTCTTCTACGGTGCTTGAATCCCTATGAAGCAGAATATGCACTTAGGGAGGTGCATGAAGGTGTCTGCGGAAGTCATGTGGGTGCTCAAACTTTGGCTCATAAAGTCCTTAGACAGGATTATTATAAGCCCAACATGTACAAGGATGCCACTCACTTTGTTAAGAGATGTTCGAAATGCCAGTTCTTTGCACACCTGACTCACCAGCCTGCAGAAGAGCTCACTACTCTAGTAGCACCATGACCATTTGCTCAGTGGGGATTGGATCTCTTGGGCCCATTCGTGAAGGGGGTTGGTGGTGTAACCCACCTGATTGTTGGTGTAGATTATTTCACAAAGTGGGTTGAAGTTCGGCCGTTATCCAGTCTTACTTCCAAGAAGGTTGAAGACTTTGTTTTCAACTCAATAATCTGTAGATATGGGATCCTGAATCAGATTGTGGCTGATAATGGACCTCAATTTAACTGCACCTCTTTTCGAGATTT